GAACAGATGCCCTAAGGAAATGTCCCCTACTCACACTACAATCTGATCGCGGCTAATGGACGCCCAACATGCGAGCGACGTAATAGGCGAAACAATGATCCCCCTCCCCACCCGTTTATCCCTTCAGCCACAATGACCTCCCTCTCTCCCTGCAACCCGAATGTCTGTTCGCTTTTGGATAATTCACTAGCCAACCGACCGGGGAAGAGGACCGGCTCGATCCCATATGGAAATCGACGCACTCAACAAAACCCATCTTCTGGAACACCGACATCTAAAGGACGCTGGTGCAGAGCCATAATGCTGCAGTCATCATCGCTATAGAGAACCGATTTTGCTGAAATCGACGCCCACCGCATTTCAACGAGATTATCCCTCCGGGGGGAGAAATTGGCCTACACGTATTACCGTATACGTCCCACGCAATGACAAGCAGCCACGAGGCAATAGAGGAGTGTGACGGAGACCTGCATGCTGTGTCGAGAACGGACAGATGGGGTGTTTTCTGGGACCATCGCGTCTACAAAGGTACCACCTGGAATGCAATGCTAGGTCATCACGGATTGGGTTTTTGCAATGCTAACGGACACTTCTTCCTGAAGACCCATATAGAACGCAACCTACTCGTCAAAACCACAACATTTTCAGCTTCCCAGCGACTAAAAGAAAACAGGGAAGCAGCACTCGCAACTGTTGAAAAGCGCGTTCTCCTGATATTATTCCTGTTTTGATTAGAAAGGATATGCTTATTTAAAGAAACGGCCTTCGAGTACTTTCTTCTGCTTTGGTATTTCTCATATCTTTTTGTTTACTACCATAGTACAACGAAATTTGACAACGGTCAGGCACGACTACTGAACTGCGTGCTCGTCAAGATGCTTGGTCACTGCTATGCACACGTGATCGAAGATGGAGCGAATTACTAAATGTCAGACCGACCTTCGCACTATTGTCTTGGAAGTTGGGCTGCAAATCCAACAGACGAGACGAGCTCAGGAGGAGATGACACCAAGCAATCTGATCACGACAGCCTAGGAAATGGATGTACGAAGGCGAAATCTACCAAGCTATACGAATGCCAGCCTTTTTAACGCATAAATCCTGAGGAAAGAGCAACTGCAGAGATGACTGAAATCATCCACGCTTCTACCAGTGAAATCATACTGTCTGCAAAAAGAAATCCTTAGTGCTGTTTTGATGGCAACTATGGCGGTATAAGATGAAAACGGCAGGTTGTAGGACCTCGAAAATAAACCAATACCCATTGGAACGTGTCATAGGGGAATGGTGGTAAGAGGGGTTTTACGGGTGGAGCAGTACGCGCGCGGGATGGATCGACAAAGTCAAAGAAGAGCAGGAACTAGTTGAATTTACATCCTAAAACTAAGCCTGCGCTACGGTATAGCAACAGGAAGTTGGCGCAACAATTCAAAATAAAAATCAAGTTTTAAAAAATGATGGGGTTCGAATTAATCGCCGATGATAAATTTACACCCAGTCAGGGAGCCAATACGACCCTAGCCAATAGGAACGACGTACGCCAAGCAATGTTTCCACTCCCAGCGTTTTTTACTGTACGCGTTCGAGTTAGCGACGAGCGATAGCGAACCCAAATCGCCCAATCTCTGAATGCAACACGAAGCTGATGTGATGTGAGTACTCATAACTACCGTTGTACTACACGAAAGGTACCTGACGAAAAGCCTAGGCAGATGTGTAAGATGTGGGTTGGTAGTCCCACCCGACAGACACAATACTGTTGGGGTTGGGCTTAAAGATTACGGTTAGGAGTTATGGTTAGGGATTAGTGCAGGGGGTTAGGGTGTAAGATTAGAAGCTATAGTTAGCAGTCAGGGTTAGGGGTTAGCGCAACTATTTCTCAACCATTCCCAATAGTTTTCTTTTGCATACAACTACTTGACCTCGTCGTCTGTGCATTGCCCGGCCGCGCCCGTAAAGACCCCTATTACCACCGACGCCGTATTGGAGGTGACTAGGGTTTGTTTACTTCAGGTGAGGCTACATAACCATATCCGCCCGGCAGACGTCTAAGGGGTAAATTTACGGAAGCATGGCCTGTGAAGTGGTAAGTGGCAATGTATGTGTGCGGATATTGAAAAATCCTAGGTAATCAAAAGAAGACGCAGTGAAAATAGGAAATATTTATTGGAGAGGAATATTTTTTAAACAATTATTCCTTTCCTAAAATTGCAAATCGTCAGCCGTGACAAACAGGGAAACTAAATCGCACCCTTGTCGATGTATAAGAAATAATGGAAATAATGAAGAAATAATGGAAATTATTAATTCAGAGAAGATTGTGCAGTACCGTCAGGCCAGGTAAAAACTGTCAACCGTGCTGACTTGCCAATTCAGACACGAAATGCCTCTGAAAGTCCGGAAGCACAACGAGGATGGCTATGCGTTCGGGTATGCACGATGCAGAAAGAGGAAAGCAGTTAGAACTGGTTCGGTGTTTGAGTGGAGCCGATTAGGAATGAGAGCAATTTTGAAGCCTTGGCTGGCACTTTTGGGAGGAACAAGGGTCACTAAGTGCGAAGAAGGTGTTGGGGTGTGCCACTCGACGGCTCTCGAGTGGTATACAATTTGTCAGAACGTCTACTTGTGGCCCACATGACGAAACCTGGTCAGATCGGATGTACAAGAGTTCACGAAATGCTCATTGGTCGCAAAAAGTACGTCGGCATGTTCGAAGCAAATGAATATTAACGTGGACGGCTTATCACCGCACTGTGAATAAATGTCTGTATCAAAAGTCGTTTTGAGCCAACTGCCTTTTGATACCTTTGACTTAAGTCACGGTTGCATAAATGCTCGGTGCAGGGGAAGTGTCTGCACTCGCCGCGGTGCATGGAGGTAGACGGAATGGTACGATCGCTGCTACGACTCTCCGAGCTACGCTCAAGTTAAGTAATTGCGGAGTACAGAGTGGTATGCACATTCGCCTCACTACCGGTAGAGAGTAAAGATGTCACGATCACTTCTCAACTGTCTGAGCTTAGGTCATGGTAGGTAATGGCAAGGTGAGGAGTAACGTCGGCGACAGACGACCAAAGCGCGACGATCGCTTCTGAACTCCCTGAGCCTAGGTCATGGTAGGTAGTGAAAAATTGAATTAAGACGTCTGCGATGGAGGACCGAAGCGATACGATCGCTTCTCAACTCTCTGAACTTAGCTCATGCGAGGTAACAGTGAACTGAAAAAGTAACGCCTGGGACGGTCTGAAAAAGTTAAGTAAGCTAATAAGTTATTGAAATCTGCACGAAAGTTGTGCTACAAGGTAGCTCAACCGAAGACGAACTCCAAGTCTAGAGCAGGGCTCAACAACAACAACAACAATGTACTTAAGTGATTATAGTAACCCGTTTTTCTATGCAGTACATGCTCGAGGTCCTACAACCTATAAAACAGCCGACCTAGGATGAAATTCAACTCCACATGACACGCATACACAAAACAAATGTCCGTTCCTCCGATGACTTCACCAGCCGAAACAGCTACTGAAGGTGATATGAAATGCCCGACTGAATACGACGGCAGATGGCATCGAAGGATACGCAGATTGTGATGGAATGAAGCTCAGCTTCGTGTTCATAAATACAGTCTATGGCTCGCAACCCGAGAGGTTTGCACTCTTGCGCAGTGCACACCCGAAAAAGTTGCCATGGGAGAAGCTGTGGCTTCTGGAGCAGCAGGACGGCCTTTTCGGGGGTTTCCGTAAACACATATCTACTTTCTGAGATGAAGCCATTAAAAGACTGCTGACTCAAAGGTCGACACTACCCCCAGGAGACAGTTGAAACAAATTAAGAGGTGTAACACCTCCAAGAGCCGGTCCAGATACAGAGAAGATCTACAATCTCAAAGGCCTTAGCTTATCCACAGGCTCACTTCAATATTCCGAAGGATGTTTCGACAAGAACAACCTCTGTGAAGATTTTAAGGGTTCAGCTCTTGAAGAAGAAGACACGATCGCCGGGACACGAGCTTTATTAGCCTGACGTTTCGGATTCCTGCTCGAATCCATCATCAGAGACATAAGCAAATAAGGGTGGTTCATGCACATGCGGCTGCAGTATTTATAGGATACAGTAGCCATGCTACCGCATACCTATGAATATTCACGGCTCCCTCCCCTTCATCAGGGATCGTTGCACGTGGCGTGATGGCCGATATTCGCGTCGTTAATTGCTGCAATTTCATCACGTGCGTTGGATGTTGGCGTGATGATTGCTCGACCATCTGACGCGCTGACCAGGGTGTTGGGAAGAGTGATCACCAGTGCGCTCCCCGCGTGGCCAATTACTCCGCCTAGACGAAGTCTCAGAAGGTGTATTGAATGGGAAGATCATTGCACTTATTGATAGACTGGGGGCCAGTAAACCATGACTCAAGCAGCTCCCGGCTCACGCGGTTGTTACCTCTTGCGAGAATTTCGGCCTCGTCAAATTTGAAGGTCTGGCCGGAACCCGTCGAATGAGCCGCAACTTGAGAGCTGGCGTCATTTCTCCGCAGTGCTGCAGCGTGTTCGGCCATTCGCGTTCGGAGCTGTCTTCCGGTTTCTCCGACGTAGTTGCTTTGTCCGCAACTGCACCAGATCCGATAAACGACTCCAGACTTTTTCCAAGGTCGAACGTGAGGCACTTAGAGAACTCAAGGTCGACAAAGACTTGGTCATCGTGCCAGCGGACAAGGGGCGCTCCACGGTTGTGCTGGACAGGACAGACTACCTTCAAAAAGCCAAAGGTTTACTGGAGGACCGACAATTCTATGTCCCATGTGCAACGAACCCTGTAAAAGCGCTGACACGCGAAATCAATGCTACGTTGTTGGCCTTGGAGAACTCAGGTGCAATAACACCGACCGACAGACGCATGGCGAGACCCCAAGATACGGCTTTGGCCTGATTCTATGGCCTTCCTAAGGTGCACAAAGACGGCGCTCCTTCCGACCCATCGTGTCGCTCAAGGGTACTCCAATGGACGGACTGGCTAAGTGGCTGTTCCGGCGTCTCAAGTTCCTGACCGCTGAGTCAGACACCTCGGTCTCTTCGTCAGCAGAATTCCTGGAGAAACTCAAAGGGGTAAGCCTCCATCCAAATGAGGTCATGGTATCTTTTGATGTTACATCCCTTTTTACTTCTATTCCCCAAGACCTGGCGATCGAGACAATCGATCTGCTTCTACAAAGCAAATACGATGAAACGGAGAATCGTCTTGGACGCGCCCAAGTCCTTCAGCTCCTGAAGTTCTGTCTCAGGACGTACTTCACGTTCGACGGGACAATCTACGAACAGGTGAAGGGTACACCAATGGGTTCGCCGATTTCGGGGTTCATCGCCGAGGCGGTCCTGCAACGGTTAGAATCGCTGGTCTTCCAACACCACAGACCGAAGTTCTGGACCCGGGTTCCGGCCACACCTTCAAATTTGACGAGGCCGAAATTCTCGCAAGAGGTAACAACCGCGTGAGCCGGGAGCTGCTTGAGTCATGGTTTACTGGCCCCCAGTCTATCAATAAGTGCAATGATCTTCCCATTCAATACACCTTCTGAGACTTCGTCTAGGCGGAGTAATTGGCCACGCGGGGAGCGCACTGGTGATCACTCTTCCCAACACCCTGGTCAGCGCGTCAGATGGTCGAGCAATCATCACGCCAACATCCAACGCACGTGATGAAATTGCAGCAATTAACGACGCGAATATCGGCCATCACGCCACGTGCAACGATCCCTGATGAAGGGGAGGGAGCCGTGAATATTCATAGGTATGCGGTAGCATGGCTACTGTATCCTATAAATACTGCAGCCGCATGTGCATGAACCACCCTTATTTGCTTATGTCTCTGATGATGGATTCGAGCAGGAATCCGAAACGTCAGGCTAATAAAGCTCGTGTCCCGGCGATCGTGTCTTCTTCTTCAAGACTGCTTCCTGGGACTCGTCTGTTCGCTTCTATTGGTTCAGCTCTTCTTCACCATCATCGGCAAAAAGAAAAGTCGAGGGTATGGTTTACGGCAGAGGTTGATTACTCTGGTAAGCATTTGTGTTGAGCGAAAGAGCTGAATATGCAAGGACCTTGTTGTATCACAAATTTGCATTCTGCATATCGTCACCAATTAAAGGGGGACATCATTTTTACCATTCACTGATAAAATTAAATGAATTTAAGGCCCCCTTGCAGGCGTTGTCGTATTTTGCTCTGACGGTTACCCTAAAGCATTTTGAACACCCTCACGCAACAGCCACTGCGAGGTCTTTTATCTCTTTATTTGACACATACAAATAAATATCGCCAATTATTTTCTTCTAGCACAACTGCTCCCCGGATTAATTAACCGCAGCCATAAACAATACTCTTACAAAAAACTGACAAATTATCGATAACCGCCACGATATATCCCTCCTCTGTATTGCTGCCAAAATCTTAGCGCGAGTCTTAGTCTGTAAGTGATAATCCCATTAGTTGGGCACAGTAAGTAGGCTACCCGGGAAACGAAGATAGAAGTATCCCAACAGTTGCAAACTAGTAAATAATAACCAAGTCGTCAGCAGGTAAAAATGCATGTGCTAGTTCTTTGTCACATTCAAAGTTGTGCCAAGTTATTTAACAAGCGTATTCTAACTGATTAAAACAAAACGGACTTAAATGTCACTACAATTCAATCGCCAGAACCTAGGCCTGCAGCATGCTCTCCGGATTAAGTAACCGCACTCATAAACTATACCCTCACCAAAAAACTGAAAAATTATTGATAACAGCCACGACATATCCCCCTCTGTATTGCTGCCAAAATTTTCGCTCGAGTCTTAGTTAATCGCCAGAACCTACGCCTGTGGCATGCTCTTCATCCAGAAGGCACAGATTCCGGAATAACCCTAAAGTCACAGATATGGTCATTGCAGCCCGGAAATTGCGAGAAAGATGTTAAGAAACGAGGACCATCGTGATTCCTTTTAAATGGATCTTTGAAATCGTAAAAATATATATGCTCAGCGAAAAGTTATGAGCTAACTTGGACGTCTCGAACAGTCCAAGGTAATGTTCAGGTAGATTCGGAATTGCATGGACATGAACTTACATTCCCTCTTACTCAAATGATCTTATGTGTTATTTCTTGTTGAAGAAAAGTTATGCTCGGCAACTTGCAGGCAGACTTGAGCGCCGAATCTTCACTTTCAACAGACTCGATATCGAGATGAACTAATTTAAAAAGTCTTGAGAGGACAGAATTGACAAGTACATTGTACAATAACATTCTTAGAAAGAGATTGCTGAGTGATAGGACCAAAAGTAGATATCTAGGACTTTAGGGCCTCAGTTACTAAACTAACTCGATACGCATAAATGCTCGTCCTTAAACGGAAGTACTCCCTAGGTGGTCTTATTAGAAGCCGTTTGTTCACATGGAATTTGATATTCGTTCATATTCAAGCAGCTTCCCTGATAGTAGCTGTGTCATTTCTGGGAGGTCTGTCGTCAAAAGTTACGACCATTGCTGACCAACGGCATTCAGGCAAGATAACGTTGCCGCAAAAATAAGTCTTGTTTATGGCTTCATCACAGATATCTGAATGCAATTAGCGGCTTTAGACGTACAGAAAACCCAAATTAACTTGATTTATGCAACAAAAACATTCCTGCCAGCTGACAAACTCAATGTAATTATCTTGGAGTACTGTTATAGTCAACATAAACTACGAAGGTAGTTAATATTTAAATTACTTGGGAGCCGGAGGCATCATTTGATGTAACTACTAGTTGCTTGTGGCAGAGGCGAAAGATAGGGTAGAAATACGCCTTCGTGATCAGATTAGAAACGGACGATTAACGAGAACACAACTAACAAATAACATAAGACAGCGAAGAGGCTGAAGCCGGCCTATCTTTTCATCATGTTCTTAATAATAGTAAGGCTCTGTCTTATGGTTTCTGTTAGACATGTCGGAATTTGTTAACAATAAGGATCTGTTGTAGCGTCCTTATTGCCCTTATTCGGGCTCATATGAAGAATTTAAATTTTCATCCCCATGGGCAAACCTTACAAAACGTTTCATTAATTTCAATGCTCTTAACTTCCGGATTCACAGTAGGCGAGCGTTGCTATCGCCTCTGTGGTGACAATCCTACTGTTGAAGATGCCAGGTAAGTCGTGAGCATTCAGCGCTGAAACTGACCGCAGAGTGCTTGATCGCAAACGAATTTGCGACGATTTACGATCTGTGAAAGTTTTTCTGACTTTCCAAAAACAGCGTAAAAATATATGGTCAGCGAGAAGCAATGAGAAGTAATGCATGGGCATGAACTTACATTCCAACTTACTCAGTTGAACTTGTGTGTTTAGATAGGATTGGCGTATTTTTGCCAGGAGGAGATTTAATAGTGAACGGGTTTTAGTCAGACCCTTCCATCACATCCAAACCCGTCGATCGGCCCACTGCGGACGCAACTATATCAACTGACTAAATTCATCTCCAGTAATAAAGCATTACACGTGCTTGACCGACGATACCCTGTCTTATATTGAGATCGTATTAAGAAAGAAAACAATTGGGCTTAGGCGTGAGAGCTGGTTCAATAGCCATAATCAAAGGAATCATATTAGACAGTATGTTTTGCATTAGGTAACACCGACCAAACTGTAAGATTGCAGTTAGTGACAAACATCATGATTACACTTTTACTGCTGCCCCTATTTAAGAAGAGAAAAGGCTCAGATATGGAACAGTCGAAAATAACGGACTTTATAAATTTCAAACAGAGATTGTACATAAATTGCAAGTGAACACATTTCATATTTAACCTATTCAGAGCATAATAAGTCAATTTGTAGATCAGCATGCTGACCGCCAGTCAAATCATTAACACCTAATTTAACACATTAGCTCCAGTCTGAATAAGGAAAAGAAGAAGGTATACACCCACACATGCATGATATCAACCTAGAGGATAATACCAAATTTCACTCAGTAAATGGGGTATTCTTTCTTACGGCATCCAGAGAACAGCAAAAATGAATGCTTTCAAAACAGTTCTTATTTTCCACAAAGCATACACGAGAGTAACAACAGCGCATAGAGGCCCGATCACAGACATGATCATGGCGACCTACGGCCCAAAACTAGCCCTCCAAAATGACAGTAAGTGCGGACTTCAAACCACATTTGCCACGAATAGACATAAATTGCAAAAGAGTGCAAAAGCACTAGATTTTATTGCTTGTACAAAAAGAGGAGCCTAGTAACCATAGCCATAGCCGCCGTACTCCTTCTCTTCGTGACATTCACTGCCCTTGCACACCGTGGCACAGTGACCGTCCTTGCAGTCGTAGCCCTCGTACTCACCACTGTGGCAGTGCTCCGAGCTGCAGCCCGCAAAGTCTACACGACCACTGAATTGCACGTGACCCTTGTACTGGCTCTGACCCT